TGCGGGGAACTCTGCAAAAAACGCATCTTCGCACGGGCAGCCCGTGCGTTGGCCATTTATTTTTTAATTCAACAGCAAAACTTGATGCCCAGTACATCAAATGAACTGGCAACTATTGTATCATCTCATCTTCAGTGCTAAAACAAAGGCGAAGTAAACAGAAAGTAAGAACTAATCAACTAAGGAAAATTGAAACTATATGAAACCCAGGCTGGAACGCACCGGACGGGCCCGTGCGATCATGCGTTTTTGCACAAGACTTGAAGTACTCAGGTTATTAACCGCATGAATGGTTGTTTCTTACACCTACTTTTTGCGGTCACTAGCATAAATCGCCATAAATCTTGCATAAGGTAAATGTACAATTTCCATTTAACGGCCGTTCTTTAAAAGTAACCCAGCTGTTCAGTGAGAAATTTTTCCGCCAAAACTTTTAAGTGCCCGTATATAACAATTACGCATACCTCAAGGCTGAATCTGAAATACTTGAGTTGTACTTAGAAAGGAAACATTGCCCCAAAATTTCAGCGTTCCAGCTTTTCTGGTTACCGAGTTAATAATTTTCCTACAGAAACTTTCATGCGCCCTTACGTGGGTACCACGCATACCTGGGGCTGAATTTGAAACCTTTAGCTAGTACATGCACAGGGAACATCCCTACAAAGTTCCATCCCTTTAGCTCGTGTGGTTCCCGTAATCACTTTTCCGCCAAAAAATTCACATATTTTTTTAAAGCGTCCGTACGCAGCATCCAGGAGTCCGCGGGGTATGAAATTAAAAGGAGGGTCGCGCATAGTATGGGCACATACTGCCAAAGTTTCAGCCTTCCAGCTTTTTCGGTTCTCGAGTTGAAGTGGGTGACAAAAAGTGCGAACAAACACACACACACAGACAGCCTTTTCCAATATGCGTTTTTGCAATTTGCATATGTGCAAAAACGCATAAAAAATGAAGTAGTTAAGTATTGTGGTATGTGAAAGCATAAGTTCGGTAAACAGTTCTGGCTAAATTTACGGTTTTCTAAAAATCTGACTTAATACACACACCAGTTCTGACAGCATAAATTCAACGACGAGAAATAAAGGAAGACAGTTGTAAAGCAGACAAGTTAAAGTCCAAAATTCCCCGGCAAACACCAAATTACCGAAGATCTCTTTCAATAAGCAGTTGAATATTTCAAAAAAATACCATTCTAACAATATCCTGATCGATGTTGACCGTTTCGCTCCACCCCGGACTGGGTATTTTGATAATTACGGACTTCGGCAAAATGCGACTATCAGCAGCACTGTCGATCCAGTCAAGATAAATTCGTGCAATTCTGGACGCATAACCCTTAAACCAAAATTCAATTCAGTTTTAAAGAAAACTTAGCAAGATGGTTAAGTTGGACTGGACAAAAAATATAAGCTTATAATACAAATAATAATTAACAATGCGCACCAGAACTGTCAATGTGACAATACGTTTTTGTGCTGTTTCGCACAGCACTGATATCGTTAACAGTATGATCGTCCCTTTTACAGTTTCACATGTGCACTTATGTTAGAATGTTCTTGTTGGCCATTTTTATGCGTTTTTTGCAACTATGCAATGCAAAAACGCATATTGTCGAGGGGTTGTCTGTGTGTG